GTAGCTGTAGTTGTAGTAGTAGTAGTAGTAGTAGTAGTAGGAGTAGGAGTAGGAGTAGGAGTAGGAGTAGGAGTAGGAGTAGGAGTACGAGTAGGAGTAGGAGTAGGAGTAGGAGTAGGAGCAGGAGCAGCAGCAGGAGGAGTAGGAGAAAGAGTGGGGCTGGGACTGGGACTGGGAGTTGAGGGTAGGAGTAGGAGTCGGAGCCGGAAGTGCGGTAGTCGCCTTGCAGTCGTAGTAGCACGTAGTAGTAGCTGCAGTGGTAGCAGAGGTAGTAGCAGACGTAGTAGTAGTCGTAGTACTCGTAGTCCTCGTAGAAGTAGTACCATCCCTCACCTTCAGTCTCCATTCCACTCTGTGTAATTATTTATACCGGTTTTTCAATGTCAAAGTTTCCGACATGTGATATCGGATTTGTGATCTATCGGTCAGTGGGATTTCTCGGGTACTGGTTTTACGATCTTGAATTTTGTGCAGAGACACAGTTCGAAGCCTGCCTGGTTCGGGCAACACGAGCTAGCGACAACAGGTTTTGCCATCATATTTCTCGTTGTAGAAACCCCGCGCAATATCCAAACCTGTAAACCCTCTCGAGGCGGCGAAATGCGTGCCTCGTAGCTGTGAAATGCTTCGGATTTTTGAAAACAGACACCCATCGGCTGGTGGAGCCGGAGAACTCATTGTTTTGGGGGTCTCTGTTACAAAGGTCAAGTTTTGAGGCTTTCGGTTTCGAGTTTTGCGTTGCATGTCGTCTGTTGCCATGAGCCTAGAAGTCGGAACATTAAATCAACTCAAACCCCCATGGCCGACATATAGATCTTCAGGCCGAAGCAGAAGCACACAAAAAACACTCTGAATCCCCGAACTCGACGCCACATCCTGCACACTGAAACAGTGTACCTTAAACCAGGTTCTCAGTCTATCAGCATTGCACTTCAAATCTCAACTCCCATTTTATCTCGCTACCTGATGTGTCGGGCGTAGTCTTTGTTTCTTGTGTTGAGGGTTCAGCTTACGTTAGGGCTTGGGGAAAGTTCAAAACATCTCGACTTTCGAAGTTTGGTTTTTTTTTCGCTTTCGGATCGTTCGGATCCCGGAGGCGCCAGACAGGAGCTGCATGATTGGCAGCTGGCGGGGGCGTTTTACTTACCCTGGGTCTGTGTGACCTTCTTGCAGATCGCACACTTTTCCTGTGGTGACGAGGCGCACTGAGGGGACGCACTTGGGACTAACACAACAAGTCATAAAAAAGCTTAATCATAAGGAATGACCTCAACATCTGAAGGAGTGCTAATGATAATTCACGGTACAATTCCCGACCCCAACTCCACAAAACCCTGAGGCCGACAATGACCGTAAATCCCTGAATCAGGCGCGGGATGGCTACTACTCTACTCGCCTGGTCTACTTCTGTTACCGGGCACTGTTGTCCGTGGCTCTGATGTGTCCCTTCCAGCCGCTGGGCTGCTTTGAGCAGTGCTTTGAGCGCGAGGTTGTACGGGTTCAGTGTGGAACATGACTTTGACAGATGCATCGCAGTTCGTTTGGGCATCCCAGCGGGGCCTTGAGCGGAGAGATCTACTCCGACGCGGCTTTTGGGGTTCAACTTTCGACTGAAGACTGAACTCTGAGCCAACACCTTTGAACCGTCGCTTCAGGTGTACATTAGCAGAGCTCATCTGCTCTGGAATGGTTGCGGCTGATGTCCAGAGATCCGAAGCACGAGCAGCGTTGATGCTGGATTTGTTTGGAATAGCATTTTTGTTCTGGGGCTTGTATACAAGCTTGTGTGCTTCGTAAACGCCCCCCCCCCCAAGTTTCCTTCAAAGTCCTTCACTACATCCTGAGGATTCCCGCGACAACACCCGGTCAAACATGTTAGGATTTTTTCTGACGCGAAATCCCCAAACCCTATAAATCCAACTTGTGTCTGAAGCGATGGAGAAGTTAGCGTGCAGGCTTCATGATGACTGGTTCGGTTTTCGAAAGGGTTGTTTCTCACCCGAAAACTCTGAGCTTTCGAGTATGTCTGCAACACCTGTTTATGTCATAAAGCTCTGAATCCAAGCAATGCCCAGGATGTCCATAGAACTTCTTTTTCTGCTTCTGATCTTCGCCGGGACATGCTTCCTGGGCCAGCGGATGAATCTTGAATGGCTACAGTTCAGGCTTGGGCACATGAGGGTCGGGAGTCGATCTCCCTTCGTTTTCGAACCCGAAACCCAAACTTGACACTCCGGGGACCCGGCAGGGATTCACTCCTAAGCCGTGTAATTACCTCCTGCTCGGACAGCGATACGATTCATTAAGCTGAGGATTGATTGGGCTTTCGCCAATGCTCGAAAGGCGGAAGAGGCTCTCTCTGCGCACTTCGGCATCGACTAAACTCCAAACCCCTATGCAAACTGAAACTGGGGGCCAGTCCCAAGCTGTTTTAGTCTACTTTAGACGGTTCATAACTGAACAGTTTTTACGATTCGTGGTAGGAGGGCTTTGGATATGTTCATCATGGCTACAATTTCGGGAAATAGTCTGGGTTCGAGCATCCCATTCGCAAATCGAACAAAGTCATCTGACCTTCACAAAGGCGGGTGCACTTGTCAGAAGTCGGAAGCTCTAGACTCGACAGGCCCTGACGGCTGCAGACAGCCCCAGACTTTCATAACTCAAGTCGAAACTGTAAACCGGCAAAGTGGAGACTTTTGCAGCGCCCTGCAATCTCTTTCGATCCGCAGCCGCAGCCCGCACCCGAAAGTGTAAACCTAAGGACTAGATGTTTAAAGAATAATAAGGATACCCATGAACCCGTTAAGAGACGAGGCTCGTGGATGCCAGACTCGGGCTCATTGAGAAGCTGTGTGATGCGGAGGCGTCAAACACGATAGCTTTAAAGTTACCACGGGGTGTAGGGTTTACGGGTTTAGGAGTTGGATTTAGGGTTTGGGTTTGGCTTGTTGCTTTCAGAGTTTGGATTCGCATTCCTTATGGATAGGTCTCCAGTGAGGAAGAAGTGAGGAAGCAGCTTCTTTTTATGTAGAAGCCCAGAACGTAAAAGAACACCGGTACGATTAACGCAATGTGGTTTAGTTTCCCAATGGTTCACCTTACAGGATTTTCATCGCTCGTTGCTCAGGGAGAAGTTTAGGAGCCTTGCTGCGAGCAAAAAGCTCGCTCGTTCCTTTGGTGGGGTTGTCCTATGAAGAGCCTTAGGCTGTTAGCTTGGCTATGCATGCTTTTGTGGTTTTATTGTGCCTTGTTTGCAGCTCCCGACAGCTTGCCTGTGGCTTTGTAGTGGCTCTTCTGCAGCTCCTTTTGAATTGCTTGAACTTCTCCCTGACTTCGGAGGCTTTTCAGCATTGTTTCTGTCAAAGCCACTACAGCTGGGGCAGCAGGGCAGCAGGGGCTTGTGGTCTACTGAGTCTACTGTCATAGCAAAACTCAAGGAGCTTTTAATAATACCTACTTGCTTGACTTCCTTCGGCAGAGCCTAAGCGTGAAACCTCGAAGCCCAAAACTAGAAGCGCTTCAGCTCTCCGTCCATGTGCGCCAGGTTGAACTCTCTGGGGAACTGAAAATGCTGGAAGCCAGTGCATCGTGGGGATCGAGGATGGGTATCCAGCTCGCGAGCTTTGAGGTCGGCACTTGCCGTGGGTGTTGTTGCTTGTCTTTTGCTGTTTCGGGTCTTGATGAAACGGGCACACCTTCTCCAAACCCGAACCGTAACCCGACGGCTTCTCGCCTGCAAGGATCTGAATCTGAAGGTTTAATGATTATCCCAAATGCCAGAAGTGAAAAAGTAGTTCCTATCCAAACATTTGGGGCACCTAAAATCTCAAGGCCTACACCCGAAAGCGAAAGCGAAAGCCCTCCGTCCAGGGCAGCTTCCTGGACATTGTCGACGAGGAAGATGCCGAGCGCGTTCTGAGATTCTTGCAGTCTGCGAGCTGTGAGGGTTCCATGGCTGCCGAAAAGCAGGGTTACGCTCACTGCACAGGTGCTGATGCCCTAAACTGAAGGTCCCAAGTCGATGACATAATCAAGAAGACAACTGAAGCTGCGTGGCCTCTTTGCTTTTCACTGAGCTAGTGAACTTCGAGTTTTTGCAGTTCGGTCGTTGATCCACTTAGATGAAGCTGGTGACGTGGTGATGAGTCTAGAGTCTAGACGATGTTTGCAACGGTTCGAGGGGCAGGATCTGTGATGGTATCGTAGTACCAGCAACCGCCACAATGAGCAGTGTACTTTAGAGAACAAGCTGGCAGGGGGGGGTGTGCAACTTCAGAATACGCAATATTTGTTTAAACAAGGCTGAGCTTTGCAATCCCCCTCCCCCCCGCCCTCCCTGCTCCAATGGCCCAGGTGCCAGTAGCTGCATCCAGGCGAGTTTGCGGACATTTGCCGACGACCGCGTCGACGCACGCTTGTACCATGCGGCCCAATCGGGCCGCTCGGATGCCTGCCAACATCGCCTGGCCGTTATCTTTCTGCGACCTGGCTGACCTTAGCAAAACGACGAGAGTAAAAGTAAGAATGGGAATTATATTGTCGACTTTAGCTCATTAGCAACCGCGTTCCTGGTAATCATACTCAAAACTCGAAACCATTGCAGCAGAGAGCGAAAGCTTGTAACAACGTCTTTCTTGCTTTCCCAACTGCATGATCAACTATCTCACACTCTGAGTCTCACCGGAACTCCGGCAACCGTCCTGAAAGGAGGCCTGAAACTCAAAAGTCCGTGTAGCCGTTTGCCGAATGCCTTTATTAAACTGAGTTTTCGAGAAACCAGCCCGATGCATTCCAAAGCATTTTCTACATGCTTCCGCAGAGTTTCATTTCGTTCAATCTGGTTTCGTTCGTCAACCGAGGAATGAAATGCGACAGATTTCCAGAGAGAGGCTCAGACACAATGCAAACTTGTGGAGAAAATGCATGTGAACGATACCCCATGTTTTGCATTTTTTCCGTAGCCAGGAGAGGCCAGACACCATGAGGCACATGGGTTTTGGAAAACATGATTTTCAATCTTCTCAAAAGCGGTCCAAAATTCGACATACACGTCCTCAAACTAGGCCCGGCCGAACACGCAAATGAAGACGCTGCGCCAATCTGAATTGATTGAAAACTAAGTTTGTCTTTCTGAGTCGAGTGGTTTCCGCGATTCCAGGTGACGGCATGCGGACTTCTCAAGCCTAAAGCCTGGGAGCTTGGAACATCTCAAGAAGGAGTAAAATAGGAGTAGGACCTAGGAATAGGACGAGGAGTGGGAGTGGGAGCGTGAGTAGGAGTGGGTGTGGGAGTGGGAGTAGGAGTCGGAGTAGCAGTAGGAGTCGGAGTTGGAGTCGGAGTCGCAGTAGGAGTCGGAGTTGGAGTCGGAGGAGTAGTAGTAGTAGTAGTAGTAGTAGTAGTAGTAGTCGTGGTGGTAGTAGTAGTAGTAGTAGCACTAGTAGCACTCGTAGCACTAGTAGCACTAGTAGTACTAGTAGTAGTAGTAGTAGTAGTAGTAGTAGTAGTGGTAGTAGTAGTAGTAGTAGTAGTAGTAGAAGTAGTAGTACTAGTAGTACTAGTAGTACTAGCAGTAGTAGTAGTAGTAG